TGTTACAGCAAAGCAACGTTGGGCTATCCGTTGTGTCCACTATAGGGAATAAAACCCCGGATTCCAGCATTGCAAGTGAGTAAACTCACCACCGTCCAACAGAGAGACTGAAAAGCCAACAGACTAAAAGAAAGTGCAGGAAAAGGAAGATCTAAATTATTTCCAGAATGTTGAGAATCGCCCTTACCTGCAGCTTCAGGGCCCTCCAGAGGAACACCACAGAACCAAATATTTGTCTCCATCTCACTATGAATAAGATCACCGACAGTCTCAACCAAGAATGACTCTTCCCCCATTGTTGTGGGATGCTAGATATCAGAGATGGGATAAGAGAAACCCAATTTGGCTCCATGCCAGCAATAATAATTCAGGAATTCATACCATAAATCAACTTGCCAATCATAAATTTGTTTTTTTACAAAAATCAACTAGGTAACACGGAGAATGTTCAAAATATCCCTGAACGATCATAGATGGGCAAAGGAAGACACTCTGGCAATCGTGTAATAGCTATAAGTGGGAGAAGAAGTATGTATGTATTGGAATTATAATTATTTATTTAAAGTGTATAGTGTTCTCCTGAGGATGTTTGCAGGCATTATTATTTTACAAATAAAACAATTTATGTGTGACAAATGCTTTCTTTATCCTTATGTTTTTCTGAGAATGAATGAACATTTGTCTCACATAAATTATTTTCTTCAAAAAGTTATGATATAATTACTTTATACTTTTTTTTTGGAAACTTGTGACAATAGTTAAAAAAATTGGTAATGAAACTAAAATAACATTAGAACCCATGGTGTAAGTATTGATTCTTTTAGTTAAAAAACTTTAAAAAGATTACAAACCAACTGTATATGACTGTATATGTAATATAAAGTCTACAAGTGCAATCTTTCTGTAAGAAAAATATTGTGAAATTTATTATGTTACAATAATAGTGTTGTGTTATCTACAGAAGAGCACTTGCCTGCAACAATGACACCTTAAACTTAATTTTGGGTTTATTTTGCAGCAGACATGTTGAATTATACATTTTATTAGTAATTTGCCTCTGTTCATCTGAAACCATAAATAACTGTATGGAGGTATTACTTGAAGGTAATAATATTTTAAATAAAAATGACAAACTTTGCATAAAATAATGTAATTTTCACCTAAAATAATTCACCATTTTTCATTATTAATTCAATGAACAGAAAATAGAGTTAGTGTATGTTCAAGTATAGCAAAAACTATTTGACATACCATTATGTTTTACAAAAGAGCGGTGACGAAATACAGTTGTCAAACTTTCTACACAATAAAACAAGTAATTATGTGACAAAGAAATTATACCATATCTAGATATTAATTATGTTAAATTACACAGACATTTGTTTTCTGGAGATGTTAAGTCAATGAAATCAAAAGAAACAAATGCTAGTTTATAGTGAATGTTTTAGCTAACATTCACTGGTTTATTGTAGCTTGAAAAGTTTTTTTGTTTATTTTCAACACAAAGTTACATTGAGATATCTGAAATCTTGGGGGAATCAAACCCAAGTCCATAAATTTAATGCTGACCCACAACAGTACTAAGTTAAAAGTAACATTTTTATACTAATTAATCTAATAACTGCTAGGTTCCAAATGACACTCTTAAATATTATTATAGCAAAAAAAAAAATGCATGATGCAAATGACTTGCCAATAATTAATTTATTATGACAGAATATTTTTTGGTATAGCCAAAACATTAAGTTTCACTAATTAATAAGTACTTCCTTGAACTTAAGTGTCACTTTACCTTAGTTTTACCTGCAGCTAAATATGTTTTGCACATATTAAAAAAAAACACTGAAATAAGGGGAAATAACTTCACTTATTGGGTTTGTAGGATGTTGATTCCTCCATTACAAGATAATGTTTCTCTGAATTACCTTTTCACTACATTACAACTAACAATATACAAGTGAAAATAATCCTCTATTCCACTTTTCTGTAATTGGTTTGAACATCCAACTTCAATTCTATCATATTACTAAATCAACAACTAACTCTTTGGGCAGTCAAACATTAATATGTAAACGTATAACCTCCAGAAGAAGACTGCAAACTGTCATACACCTACTAATGGCCACATTTTTAAATGTAAAAAGTTATAAAAAGGTGTGATGTTGGTGAGAATTTACAATCCACTTCACCATTAAAAATAAATGATTAATTTAAAAACACAAAAGTATGCTTACTTTTAGTTTGAATTCTAGTTCTGTTCGATAACCAGTTTTTTCACAAAAGATTGTGACCTTGCCACCCAACTCCATAGTTAGAGTTCCCACCAAAATGCCTTTGCAGTGAGCATATGGCATCGTTATCAAGTAGTCTTCTCCACGGGTCAGAAGAGTTAAACGGGCTGTACCATCCAGAATGGCTGACAAGGAGTTCCCTAATAAGAAAGAAACAAAAGCAATAAAGTCAGTTTAACAAGAAACAACTGACAAACAGCAGTTTCAATTTGGCAAGGCACACCTAATGAGTACTGTGTCAACTTTAGTTTGACTTAGAATAAATGATAAAAATTCAATAAATTAGCTTCAATTCAACAACAAAGAACTAACAGGATATTCAAGGTCATAGCTAGGCATGAATTTGAATTATGCACAAGGGAAGGGTGTGGGTGGAAGCTCTCCTCCTCCCACTGGTTGGGGTATGGAGGTGCATCCCCTTGGGAAAGTTTTGTTGTTGTAGTTGTTTGTTATTATGCACAAAGGGCTACCTGCACCCTGCCCACCATGGATATTGAAATCCGATTTCCAGCAGCATAAGTGGGTGGGAAAGGTTTGAAAGCTAAACCTGAAATGGTGCATTCTGTTGACCTTTTTTTACATACATAATGATAAGAATTTAATCATACAGGCAGTATAAGGTAATGCAAAAATTTACATTTTAATTAACATTTTGTTTCTATATTTTCTAAAGAGAAAACAATCAATATTGTACATAGATGTATGAAAATATACCTAAATACTAAAAGTGTGGCAATACAGTGATACGATACGAGTATTGTATCGTGAAGCCATGATATGAATGTATCGAAACATCGTCCAATATGACTTATGTATCTTCACAAAATTTGGAAAGCTTTCAGTAAACATTACAAGTCTTTTGTACGGAAAAAAATCTAAATTACTAATAAAGTATTTTTGTTCAAAATTAATGATTCAATAAAGGAAGATGAGTATTGAGTACTACATGTTGTCTTCATTCATTTTATCAAAAACATTACATGCAAAGTAACGTAACAAATTAACAATAACAAAATAGATAAACAAATATTAACTTTTTATTTTATTTCTCTTGCCAGCTGCTATCTAGTTGATCAAACCTGAAAACTTGAAAAAGCACTGTAAACTGTAAGCACTTAAATAAGACAATGTTAGTAATTACAGACAAAACTGTCAAACTTTGTAACAAATCATTGGTAAAACTTCTGTATCTAGATACGTATCGTATGATGAGATATGCACTGACACTAAATGCACCCCATATACTGATTAATACAGTAATATATTAGATATTAATTAATCTTACAAAATTTCAGAAAAACTCCAACAACAAATCTTTGATTAAATTTCAATCAAATTTGGAGGAAAACGTATTTTCCCTTTAATATCAGTGAACTACATATTTCTACGAAACAAAATTCAAAACTATTGCAAATAATACGTTATGGTTAATATAACAAAAGGCATCTTGGGCAGTGACTTTGAAAAGACAAAAGGTAGATCTCAAATGCTATTATTAGGTACTTCTGACATTGAAAACATGATGGACAAATTAGAAGCAATGTGGAAAAAAAGCTGCAGTTTATGTGATTATCATCCCAAATATTAGCTTCTATGAACATTTCTCTCCACAGAAATTCATATAAAAATGTCACTGAATTTTAATGATGTGGTGAAAAACACTTCATCATACCTGGATAGCCTTTTAGTTTTAGCAACAATAAATAACAGTTTGTAGGTCATCATTCTTTACAATAATGCCATTTCTCTGACTAAATAATACGTATGGAGCTGTAAAACTTGTTTCATTTCTCTAATATGAAATACTACAGGTATGATTATATGTTTTCCATTTCAAGTATTCTTGTGAAAATGTACTTTTGTAACAGTGAACAAGGTTTATAAGCATGTTATTTTGTATCTGATTTAAAGTTCAGAAAGACAATACAAGCTTTAAAAAAGGAAAAAAAAACATTAATAAATTAGTACAGAAGAAAGACAAAAAAGGACTTATTAATGGGTGGAAATAATGAAACACACACAAACAAATTAAATATAAATTTGGCCCAAACTATTTTTCTGGAGCAGCAGTTCTCAATCTGTGGAATATAAGTTCCCTTTAGGTGTTTCATGAAAATACTGCATAATTATGAAAAGGAAGCAGAAGCATCCATTGTGTTTTGAGATAAAAAATAAATTTTGGTGGTCTTAAAAAAATACTTTTGAGAACCTCTGTTCTAGAACATTGGGAAAAAAAACTTAAGCAACCAAAACACCACCAATATCTAATTCCATTGTGAACAGAAGGCTTACACAGCCGTGTAGCCAAACTAAAAGCACTTCCAATAGGTGCAAATAATACCAAAATAACCTAATGGGCCAAAAATATCAAAACTGAGCTACTGATGTATAGAAAAAAATACTAAGTTTGAATTTCTTAACTTAAAGCTGTAGTTTTAGCCTTTTTTTTCACACTGTTATTTGAAGTGTGACATTGCCTATTGTTTTGGTCGGCTAACAGACAACCACAAATACTTATCAGGTGATGCCAAATGCTTTACCCATTCTTCTGGAACTTCAAAGTTCGTCTCTTGGGTTTAAAATCACACAGAACATGATGAGGTAGTAGATCCAATAAAGACATCATCTTTTTTCAAACAAGCAAATACACTTACTGTGTCCAGTCTCTCTAACTCATTCTCATAAACTCATAACTACACTGCATTAGACATCTTTTCGAATCTCCTGTTATTCAGTAGACCTATCTATTGTTTGAAGGAAGATCTGTTTGACCTAAATATAATATCACAGATACAATATGCACTTTCTTCTCAATCACCTATCTTGTTTGGTAGTCTTTGTTGCTACAGTGTAACTATAAGGGCTAACAATAAAAACTACAAGAACCCATTTATATCATCAAGTAGAATTTTAATATACAAGGGATTTTTGGTTGTTTAACAACATTAGAAGAATGCCTTGTGGCAGATGGAAAATGCCAGTATTTTACCTGCCCATTACCAGAACAAGAATCTCTATTTATGTATATTTAATCAATGAATCTAAGTTTCAAATGGACAGCAACTGCCTGTTGTAGAAACCTACAAATGTAGAAGACCCATTAGACCTCTACATTTGTAGGTTTCTA